GGGGGAAGATGGGTAACTCCAGTGGGCGATCTGGCACACCAACCATGATCATTTTTCCCTGGGTCTTCAAGAGAAAGATCAATGGCACAATATCGTGCTTTGCCGACACAGTATTTATTATACCATCCATGGTGCCCATTGCAGCCTATAAAAGAAAGTTTTTCAACAGTTGGTTGAAAAGATGAAACAGAAGAAAGCTTGGCTATGCTGGCGTGCGAGATGGCCATAGTTTTTCTATATTTACGTTTAAAAATTTCACCATTGTTATCTGTTTTGTGGGACTAAACTCCACAACTAATGTCCAATTTCATATTTTTAATATGCCACTATGCCAGTTAGCAGATTTTGATGTTTTGCTGACTTTCCAGGCAATCTCGAGGGCTTTCTACAGTATTTTCAAGTGAGTAAAGTGAGTCACTGAAAAGGGAAATTATTAGGCGCGCGCCACTAGATATAAAGATGCATCCGGATTACTGGATGCACTGCGTACGCTCTGCTTACACTCTGCTTCACTATGCGTATTTGTAGATACACAACAAATAAGAAGCAAAATCCTCACAACTAAATATTTGTTGCTTATTTACTGCGTATCTACAAAAACACAATATATACGCAGTAAATACGCATAGCGTAGGCAGAGCTTAAACATAGGGTACGCAGTAATCTAAACGCATCTCTACATCCGGTGTCCGCACCTAATAATCTCTCAAAAAGGAAAATTATTGGGTGCGGACACCACTGAAGAATGATACATTACCTGAATCTGCTGAGGATCGCTGCTAACTATAAACGCATCAGCTCCCAAAGTTTTAATGGCTTCATCTTTCTTATTTAGAGATGTGCTTATAACAGTGACCTTCATTCCAAAAGCCTTGCCAAATTTGACTGCAACATGGCCAAGTCCTCCAAGGCCTACAACACCAAGGTGCTTTCCAGGCTCATCGAGACTGAAGGTTTTCATGGGATTGTAAACTGTTATTCCTGCACACAACAGTGGCGCGCCCTTGTCCATCGCCAAGCTCTCAGGGAACTTCACCACAAAATGCTCCCTAACAACAATCAAATCTGAATACCCGCCATAAGTGATTGTCCCATCTATGTCGATTGAATTGTATGTTAATATCATCTTTGAGCAGTAATTCTCAAGGTTATTTTCGCAACCATCACAAGAATGACAAGAACCAACCAAGCAGCCAACACCCGCTTTGTCTCCTACTTTAAACTTTTGAACATTGCTCCCAATTTCTGTAACAACACCGACAATTTCGTGCCTGTGGAAAGCAATGAGGCATAATTGTAAGTCATTATAATGAAAACTCATGTTTTTTTTATGATTTAGACTTCGTTTGGAACAACTTTTTATTGCTTTTTAAAGCAGTTTTCTAGTAGAGATAAAAAAAAAATTTCCTAAAAAGTTACTTCAAAAAGCAGTAAAAAGCTTTCCCAAACGAAGTCTTAGATACAAAGGCATATGAGACCTATGAGTACAAACCCTGGAACTACTGGGTAGATAG